AGTTATCTGATGAATTGATCCAATTCCTTTCATTATCTTATTGAAAATATGAATGCCATTTTCTCTAAGTTTGCATAGTCTTTCCGTGCTTTCATTTATATATAATAGTTATCATCATCATCATCATCATCATCAAATGGTCTGAAAGTGAAAGCATACACGTAGAATAAGGTAGACGAAAGTGAGGTAGTGGAAGGACTCAGATTGTACGACTCCCAGATCCGTGAGGCAGTAAAATATGGTAGTGAGTTCCGTAGGACTCCAAACCAAGAATGACTGTGCTGACAAAGGCGAGCAGTAATTTACCCGACCGATCGAGATAATGGGAAAAGTTCTCAGTAAGACAGAAAAAACACTAAAAATTCACTATGAAGAATACCGTCTTCTGGGATGTGGCGCCCTGCAGATTTGTGTGAATCGACGTTCCTCCGAAACGTCGGAGGAACGTCCGAAACGAGCAGAGACAACCCCATCTTCTCTTCAGAGAGGATGTTACATAAGGACTATTACCGCAAGAATTCAGTTGGAAAAATAATCTATGGTCGTGGGCCTCAAGGGGCTGACGTCAAGACGAACTGATTGGCGGTAAACTGCCAGTCGTAAAATGAATTTGACTTTGACTTCGAGAAGAGAGTACTGAGACAGCAATGAGAAGGGTGGGAAGTTGCCGTGAGATGGCCGCCGGCCTGAGACATGTTCAAAAAAACCAATTACCAATCCAAACCCTTTCTATAGTCACACATGTGACAGTATGTTTAACATATTATTAGAAGCGTGACTAGATAATAAGTTGCATTTAAGACGGAAATATATGTGTACAAGAGACCCCAAACCATTCCACTTCAGCTGTGAGATGAAGTGGAAAGATTGTGCGCCGTGAGTGTAGAGCAACTTCCTTGACTCTTATATACTGCGTATAGTCGAATTATCACTTTGCAGGCGCTATTCCCATAAAGCTTCTGCTAACAGAGCAGACGTTAATGAACTCCTGCTAATTAAATATCTCCCTAATTGGAACTACGACGATCACGGTGGCCGCAGGGTCTAAGGCATGAACCGTCATCGTCCGCTTCAGCACTGGGGTCGTGGGTTCCAATCCCACTTGAGGCATGGATGTCTGTGTGTGTTTATTCTGCGTTTGTGTTGCTCTGGGCTAGAGTTCCAACTCTGGCTGTTAGTCGCTGGCTTCCCATCGCGGCGGCCCAGGTTCGATCCCGGGTCTGGTAAAGTGGGATTTGTGATGGACAAAGTGGCGCTGGGGCGGGTTTTCTCCGAGTACTTCGGTTTCCCCTGCCAATCCTCATTCCACCAAATTCTCCATCATCATAATCACCCAGGGCAGGCTACAATAGGCCAATCAGTGGCCGCCGTGCCGAGGGGACCCATTTGGACTCCACCCCCCACTAAGCGAATTGTGTTGCTCTCTGTGTGCAGGCAGCGGCCTTACGACGGGCTGATCCCCCGTCCAAGGAGTCCTACCTACTGTGAATAGACTAAGAAACTGAAAAAGTGGCCAAAGTCCAAGAGGCTATAGAGCCATAGAAAAAGAAATGAAAATTAGAGTTACAGTGAATTTGTTTGGTAATGAGATATGTCATTAACATGTATAAACACTTGGAATTGTGTAATTATTTCAGAAATTTTTATTTTTTCGTTTTAGATTGTGGTATTCTGGGTTATAACATTGTGTAGCCTGGCACGTATTCACCAGGCCTGAAATACGAAAATCTTCTTCTTCATCATCATCATCGTCATCATCGTCGTCGTCGTCGTCTTGAAACCTCATTTTCTTTCTTAACTGTTCCTCTTCTGCTTCATTTTACTTTATGATGAGACGAATTCTCTCCCACTTCAGCTGCTGCTCATTTTGTAATCTTCGGCCTATTCCGAGAATTCTGCCTGCACAGGACGCCAAAGTGGTACTCGGGCATATACCCGAGCTCCGAGCGAAGTTCGTGCTCCTCAGCTGCACTGTCTTAGGTCGTCTAAGCTTTAGACGCCCGGACACTGTAATCAGAACTGAGAAAATTTGTATACGTTTACACTTAACTACTCTACTCTACTCTAGAAATTCCCAACATTTTATAGAACCCGAAGGCCCATTACAGTGTTCACAAGAGCCCTCCACTGACCCCTATCCTAAGCCAGATCAATCCAGTCCTGACCACCACATCCCATCTCTCTAAAATCCAGTTTAATATTATCCTTCACCCACATCTATGTCTTCCTAGTGGTCTTTTTCCTTACGGCTGTCCAACCAAGATCCTATATGCGTTCCTCTTTTGCCCCATTCGTGCTATGTGCCCTGCCCACCTCATCCTCCTTGACTTGATCATTCTAATTACACTTGGAGAAGAATACATGTTATGAATATCCTCATTATGCAGTTTTTTCCAGCCTCCCGTCACTTTATCTCTCTTCAATTCAAATATTCTCCTCAGCACCCTGTTCTTAAATACCTTCAGTCTATGTTCTTCCCTTATTATCACAGACCAAGTTTCACACCCATACAAAACTCGAGGAAATATTATAGTTCTATATATTTTAATTTTTGGGCTTCTAGACAGCAGACGAGAAGACAAAAAGCTTTTGAACTGAATGGAAGCAAGGCTTACCTGAACTCAATCTGCTCCTAATTTCCTCAAGAATTAGATTTTGATTTGTTACTACATTCACACCTAAATTTATTTGTATAATTTATGTTTTACATTTTTACGATTTTCAAAATACAGAGCGTCTTTCGATGATCCCTGGTGGTAGGTCAACACTGAGTTCGAACGCCCTCTTAATATTAACATTCTGAACGTAAACTAATTAATCTGCAAATCATGTATAATAATTATATAGGAAATGCCCTTCAACATTCATCACGCAAAGGCAATTGAGTTTAAATTTATGAAAGTTTAATTTAACAGCTGACCCTTCACATGTTTGGTCAGCGCGGGAGTCTGAATAGCTCAGGCTATGGGCCGACGACCAAGGAGTCGTGGTTTGATTCTTGGCAGGAACCAGAGATTTTTCTCGTCTGCACAGCTTCAGGATCATCTGTAAGTCCGACCCAGTCTCCTGTCCAACAAGTGTCAGGGGTAAAGTGGCCGGGGCGTAAAGCTAACCTTCACCTCCACCCAATCCCATGTTAAGAATACATGGAGCTATACTTCCATTCTGCATACGTCATAATGGCGTGGTGCTTAATTAAAGTCATGCACAGTGTGTGTGACGTCACTGCTGTGTTTTATGAATACGGATGTGCCGACAGAGTTGGGAATAATCAATGTATACACAAAGAATGATGGATTAGGAGTGCTAAGGTAAACATCCACCTGGCTCGTGTTGCAGACGCGTATTAGAAACGAATATATCTATGGATGCCATCACTGAATATGTACTTGAGCCGAGGTAGCGTAGTCGGTATAGCGACTGGCTACGTGCTGGACGGCCAAGGGGTCCGAATTCGAGTCCCGGTAGAGTCAAGAATTTTCTCTTCTTAACGTCGTCAAGACCGGTCAAGACCGGCTCTGAGGTTCGCCCGACGTCCTATCCAATGGGCACCGGGGGCTATTTACCCGGGGGTAAAGCGATCGGTGCGTGAAACTGACCACACCCCCAGCTAGTACCGAGGTCAAGAAAATGCGGATCGATACATTCACTCCCTCATACGCCTTCATGGCGTAGTGCTTAATTAGCTAAGCACAGGGCCTTTATCTTTTACCACTGAAAACGTATGGAAATTTGTGCCACTGTTGCAGTGAACAAAACTGCGAGTGGAAGGTCGGACCATGACCTTGCCGCGAGGATGAACGTTGAGGGACAAGGTCAGCTGTTGTATTAGCGGAAAAGATGGCCTAACAGTGCCGATGGCTGAAGAGGAAGGGGGGAGGGCGGAAGTTAACGTCATAGGAAGAGTACAGCCTGTTTAAAAAAATACGCATATTTGAATACAAGTATCCACTTTGTCGTATAGTCTCACTTAATCAGAATATGGTTTCATTTGTCCAAAAAATAGATTGAAAGAGTAAGACAATATCTGATTATATTTGAGGCCCACTCAGCCCCTTATCCTGGGGGTTCCAGGGGCTATTTCCGCGGGGTAAAACGACAGGGGCATGTAGCTGACCACGCCTTCATGGCGTAGTGCTTAATTAGTTAAGCATAGGGACAACTTTACCTTGTCTTTACTTGAGCAGGTAATATATTGTAATAAATATAAAATGAGTTTTTAGCCGAATACCAAGGTTAAAATCTGTTAACTGCAAAGCCTGACGTTACAAAGATTCTAGAGGAAGCTCTGTCTATGTAATTCATTACAACCTCCCGAAGCTTTATCCTAATGTTAAGATTATGGTCTTCAAAGCTGTCGTCCCATGTAGTTCGGTAGGTGGGTATGAACATTCCATCTTTAAGCTGAAGACAGGTAGCTGATCCCTCCGAAACATTGGTGCCCATCTACGAAACGTAATGGAGTCTCATCTTGACACTCTCCGCCTCAAAAACTTCAGATCTCACGTATAGTAATGTTGTCTTCCAATTTTCATTCTGGTTTTCTAACTGGTTTCCACCACATTAAAGTGTGTATCACATATTAATAACAACGACATGAAACAAAGCAGGGACTGGTTCTTGCTCAGTCTCTCTGAGGTTATAATCAGATCCTTATTTTATCCTGCAGACTGACTGTACTTAAGAGGATTGCTAGGCCGCGCCATTGCTCAAGCGATTATTCGCTAGCTTCCCACCTTGGCGGCCCGGGTTCGATCCCGGGTCTGTTCAAGCGGATTTGTGGTGGACCAAGTGGCCTTGGGGCAGGTTTTCTCCGAGTACTTCGATTTCCCCTACCAATCTTCATTCCACCAATTGCCCCACAATCGCTCTCACCTATCATCTGGGGCTGGTACACTAGGCCAGAAGTGGCCGCAGTACAAGAGACTTAGTCCCACCCCACTAGCAATAAAATAAAAATAGAAGCTTACTCATCTCACCCTGATTTTTTATTTATACAGGTGGAAGACGCATTGAAGAAGATCCATCTGACTGGAGCCCAAGTGTTGCGCATCAAGGAAGTATTCCATAGTGAGGTGGAGCGTGGAATACACGAACAACCATCGTCTTTGCAGATGGAGAACACTTATATCCCAGAACTGCCCAATGGAACTGGTAATTAAGTAGCTCTGTATTCTTCTTCATTAATGAATTTTATTTAATAATAAGGAATGGAAGACCGCCTCTGTGGTCTAGTCGCCAGAGTTTCTGCCTACAGATCCAGAGGTCCCGGTTCGATTTCCGGCGCTACCAGATTTTCTGAGAAGTAGTGGGTCTGGAACGGGGTTCACAGAGCCTCGTGAGGATAATTGAGGATCTGTTTCAAGGAAATGGAGGCTCTGGTCTAGAAAACCGAAATTAAGGGCCGTGGGTATTCGTTGCGCTGACCACAAGACACTCTCTATCCGCTAAAGTTAGCACTAACTTCGCCGACAAGTGCCGGTCACTCGGTCGGTATAATTCGCTTGCGGTCTACAGGCCACAGAGTTAGTTTCTTGTTTTTTTTTTATAAGGAATGGATATGTATTGTCTTGAGAAACAAGAGTACCGAGACATTCTTCCTGATGAAAGTTAGAGAGATTTGAAGTTTTCATGATAATGACTGTGAAAAATATTGTCTTCTGAGATGTGACTCAGCGTAGACTGATGGGTAGTTACTAGTGTTTGGGTAGAATGTGCTCCATCCATCAGGTTAGAAGAGTAAGGCATTTACTTTATTCTTGTATACGACCCCTTAAAGGGGTATTGTTCTTTGTTCTGTTCTCCTTACTTCCATTTATTCTCTGTCGTTACATTCAGATCCATGTTTTTATTTATTTTATTTTCTGTCTTTTCCAGTAATTTTCCCCCTTACTCTGTCCTCAAAGTCTGCTCATTAATTTTCTTTTATTTTTACTCACATTCACACTGCCCAGATAAAAACGTCCTTTTAAGGGATCTTTGCTTCCTTGGTAAGTCTCTCCCAACTTCTATCTACCTTCTGTTCGTTCACTCAGAAATATTATTTCCCCATTCAGTCTGCACTTGGGAAACAGCCAAATGGAGGGCCAATATTCTTAACTCAGTTCTTCTTATTCTTAGTTGTTCATTGAATGACTCAGTCCTACTCCTCGCCATATCCATAGAATTGTTACCATACTTGACACTCCACTGCCTTTACAAATTTCATGTTGTTTTCATCCAGAGGAAGGTATGTTCCTTGCTCTGGACTTGGGTGGAACCAACTTCAGAGTTATCCTTCTGGAGTTGTCTAATGGTGCCCTTATACGAGAAAATGTGAAGCGCTATCACATACGAGAAGAGCTGAGGCTGGGTTGCGGAGAGCGACTCTTCGACTTCTTGGCAGAATGTGTCAGTGATTTTGTTCGAAGTCAGAATCTCGGTGGAACAAGGTTGCCATTAGGTAAGAATTATTTCAGACACATGTAAGTTGAATGAGTTGTTTGGGAGATTGATGATAACCTTGAACATGGTAATTTTTATTTTTGCTTCAGTATAATAAAAATTTGAGCTGTCTTATACTGGGAATTTTTGTTTTACTTAAAAATCACAAGAGGCTGAATCATTGTTCGGTCTCTGTGAAGATTGAAGCTGAAGCTCTTCATCTGCAGTTGACCTTACATAACAAACTAGCCCATTCTTAAGAACAGAATCCTTAGTGTGGCATATGGAGCAATGGTGGAATTATGATTTTAGAACAGAAAAACCCAAAGAAGCTCAGAGAAAACCCTACTCCAATGCCACTTTATGCATTAAAAATCTTACATGAAAACACTTAGAACTGAGGCCCTGTTAAGAGTAGCAAGTGCCTAACTTCCTGAGCTATGCCATAGTTGTAGTTGTCTATATGAATGTATGTAAAAATAGATTTTCAATAGCTGTTATAAAAATTCTGTTTGTTCCCACTTACAGACTTTTTCATTGCTCTTTCTTGCTCTCCTTCAGGATTTACTTTCTCATTCCCCATGATCCAAAAGGGTCTGGATGTTGGTATTCTCTTGACATGGACCAAGTCATTCAACTGTCCATCGGTGGTTGGTCGTGATGCAGTTCAGATGTTAAGGGAAGCCATTAACAGACGTGGTGACACACATGTAGAGGTTCTGGCAGTGCTCAATGATACAACTGGTAAATTTATATTCATTTATGAATCAGGATATTAAAATGAAACACATAGATGTTCTGCCTTTCTCCAGAAATATAAAAATTTGCATCTTATGCAATGCATTTAAGCCATTAACATTAAAGAAAATATTAGAACAAAAATATTTTTAACATTTGCCGACAAGCAGCGGTCGCTCGGTCAGTAGAGTTCGCTTGCGGACTAAAAACCACGGAGTTTTTTTTATTATTATTTATCTTCTCCAACTTTCCTACATGGTAGTGAAATCTGAACAATAGTGGCCAAAGATAAATTCAGAAATACAACTGCTGAGACCAACTTCACAAGGCAGAATGTAAAATTTTTATGGACAGACTAGAAAATGAACAAAGACATTTTAAATGAACTAGAAACTAAATAACAGTGATGATCATCATTGTTGCTGTTTTTATTATTTCACTGATGATGATAACAAAAACAGTAATGCCATAGTTAAGCCCTTGCATTTTTCCAATTACAAGGATTATAGTTGATCCCTTCATCTGTGTCAGTTGCTCTGTCATATTTTACTCTGGTTTATCTTGACAGGAAAAATTTTCATAGACCAAAATTTTGGATTTAAAAACTAAATAAATTTGTCACATTGACAGAACACAGAGAGATAGTTTGGTTCAGATCCTTCTTAACAGATAGAAAACAAAAGATGGAAATAAATTTATCAAATTTAACCCAAAGTACATACTCAAATTGGGCAACAAAAAATGATGGGAGTTCCCCAGGGGTAAATTTTAGGGCCTTTGCTTTTCCTAATCTATATAAGTGACCTCCTTCCTATACCAAACACCTCATAAATACTAGTAATATCAGCTGATGACACTAGTGTCACAATTTCTAGTCAAAACAAAGTCAAACAAAGTTCTCTGCAAATGGATGAATGGTTTTCTGTAAATAAACCGACCATGAATCTAGTTAGAACAAATGTAATAAAATTAATAACAAAAACTCACCACAGTATCCATTAAAAATTGGATGTAATGATAAATATATAGGAGAGGCAGTAATTACAGAATTCCTCAATTTATAAATTGATGATCATTTAAGCTGGAAAAACCATATCAATCATTTGGTTCCAAAGCTAAGTGGAGCATGTTATACAGTTAGATCTATGTCGCATATCAGAAACACTCACACTCAAATCAATTTATTTTGCTTGCTTTCACTCTTTAATGAAGCATGGAATAATTTTCTGGCATAATTCATCTGACAGCAGGTAGGTATAAACATTGCAAAAGAAAATTGTTGGACTCACGATGGTTGACAAATCTCATAATTCTTGTAGAGATCTATTTAAGAGACTAGAGATCTTAACTCTTCCATGTGAATGTATATTTTCATTAATAAACTTTGTTACAAATAACTGAGAACATTTTCAGACCGATGCAGATGTACAGAGTGTTAACACAAGACACAATCTTTATCCCCATAAACCAACTGCTAACCTCTCATCCTTTCAGAAAAGCACATATTATGATGGGATCAAGATTTTCAGTAATCTGCCATTTGCTCTCAAAAGGCTTATGAATGAAAGAACATAATTTAAAATAGATCTAAAACAATACATAAACACACACTCATTCTGCACTGTTGTTGAATACTTATTGTCTAAAATGGCTCATCCATTTAAAGGTTGTGTAAACAGTATAAGCTGGCAGTATTAATGTATATTATGGGGATGTAATTTTGAATAGTCTCGTGTGTAACCACTGTGTTTTCTTGGGATTCTTGTGTGAAAACTTTAGTTGTACTTTATATATGTTTTGGTATTTATATGACATATTCCACATCCTATAGTCGTTCTGACTAACGTTGGATCCAGGGAATGTAATGTAATGTAAAAACCACACCAGTTCTCATTATGTGACATAAGATTGCTGATGCAATAATGTGACAAGAGGCACTCTTCCTTATATGCACAGCAGTTGCACATACCAGGCAACCTACACATAATTACTGAGTCTCTAAAATTGTTCTGATTAATGTATATAGATAATGAAATAGTCACAGGATAAAACTCCATCTCCCAGTGGAGCATTGCATTACCTCTCAGTGGGGCATGTATTGTTCTGTGCTAATGCTATGCTTATATATGTATAGATTCTACAAAACTGGTTTATAGTAATGCACTGTAAAGTGCTGTTGATAGATTTTTCATTGAAAAACAAGATATACATCCTTGTCTGTGTGCTGATCAGGCACACTAATACAGGGTGCTGTACTCGACAAGAAGACTGCAATTGCCCTGATACTGGGAACGGGGAGCAATGCCTGCTATATAGAACGGGCTGATAGAGTCCAGCACTGGGAAGGACAACGACATGGGGAGAAAGAGGTAAACCTCATAATCATGGATCCAATATAAACTCATGTAACCAATAAACTTCATGGAGCTGAGCCCTTGGTGAGAAGCTGTCAGTTGTGCAGCTACTTAGAAACTTTTCAACAGTATTATGGAACCTGGAGGTTCATTGTCATGTTCACAAGAGCCCTTTGCTGGTCCGTATCCTGAGCCAGATCAATCCAGTCCATATTACCCCATCCTATCTCTCTAAGAGCCAGTTTAATGTTATCCAACCACCCACATCTTGGCCTCCCAAGTGGTCTATTTCCTTCTGGCTTTCCCACGAATACCCTATATGCATTCCTCTTCTCCCACATTCGTGCTACACTCCATGCCCATCTCATCCTCCTTGACTTGGTCATTCTAATTATACTTGGCAAAGAGTACAGGCTATAAAACTCATTTTGCAGTTTTCTCTGACCTCCTGTCACTTCATCTCTCTTCAGTCCAAATATCCTCCTCAGCAGCCCATACTCAAACACCCTCATTCTATGTTCCTCCCTTAATGTCAGAGACAAAGTTTCTTGCCCATGCAGAAACAAAGGCAAAATTACAGTTTTGTATATTCTAATTTTTACGTTCTTAGGCGTTAGATGAGAAGACGAAAGGCTCTGGATTGAAGGGCAGCAAGCTTTACCCAAATTCAGTCTCCTCCAAATTTCATCCTGAATCAGATTTGATTTGTTATTGTCGCTATTTCGTGTAAACTCTCATTCCCAACTGTTGGTTTGAGAATGTCTTCCATACCTACCATGGCATTAGAATCTTCTAACAGCATTTTCATATTTTATTTGGGGAATTTATCGAATACACATTCTAGTTTCTCATAGAAGCTGTCCTTCATATAATCTATTTTATCCACTGTTGAGGCATGAACGCTGAGAACAATGTTATCATGCCAGTGACCTCTTAGTATTATGTATGACATCCTATCACTAACAAACTCTACCCTCTTAACTGTTGATATGATTCTCTTATGTACAAATAGCCTTTGCCTAATGCATGATTTTCATTCCATTTTCCACAGAAAAATGTACATTCACCTGCTGGGTCAATGCCACCTCTGTCCTATGTGATCTCCTGTACTCCCACTAAATCTAACTTATATTCTGATATTTCGTTCGCAACTGTGATGAGCAAACCTGCCATATACAGACTTCTAACATTCCATGTCCTAAATCTCATGTCCATTTTCCTTAGCTTGGGTAGTTTATCCACCAGTCTGTCCAAATCTGGGACCCTTTGTGACATTTTATAACAAGCTTAATTTTTACGGTGAGGAGTTGTAAGCACTATGCTCAACGACTAAGCTGGAGGACTACCCCTTGCTAGCTGTCTGTGACAGCTTGTTCAATATACTCACAGCCACCCTCCTTATCTGGAAGCAATCTCCTCCATCCACAACCTGTTGGACGTAGCAGGCCAGGATTTCAAGTGACCCACCTAATATGGATATAAATTTGTATACATATCTAAAACTAATGTTGAAAATAAAGAGTATGGTCAAGTTAAGATAGATACCAACTTTAGGAACCTGTTGGCTCCATCTTAAGTACAACTTGGAGGCACAAGTATCCTCCAGATTGTTAGTACTCATACCTACCAAACTGCATGGCATGACATCCTAGAAGGCTGCTGTCTTAATAACATTCACAATTGTGACAATCATAAATCTCATACTGAAAACAATTCTTCATATGATGGGCCATTTGGTGTGAAATTTCAGGTTGATCTGAGATTTAAAGAGAGATTTATAAGGGACTGATAGAAACCAATTTTAAATCTTGACATAATATCTTTCAGAGTTCACCTTCAAAGAGTTACCCTTTTTTCTATATCAGTTAAGTAGTTTTGGAATCTTCATCTCACTTGCATAAACCATATCTTTTCCTTATGCCTTCATTTATGCACTTTGTACAAAATATTTAGCAGTGAAGACAGTAAAGACCAAAATGTTTTCACTGAGCGTAACCATTCTTGAAATAGTGTTTCAATTTCATAGTTATGTAGATGTTCATTGCAGAATGAAAAGCGCCTTGTATGGAGGTTGTCAGTCCATCTGTCTTTCTGTGACCCAACATCAATGCCAGAACTGTTAAACTTATTTCTTTTTTGAATTTGATAAGGAGACTTTCACTAAAATATGTGCCATTTTGATTTTCAGCCATGTTGACCACTTTACTTAAGGCCATAAATACAAGATTTATATCATAACTCCATCAGCAAATTTTGGTGACATTCAGTATGAGAAATATTTTCATAACATTAACTGGTCATTTTGGTTTTAGGTAGATTACAAAGCTTACTGTACATGAAGCCAGTTAACTATGAGAGGTCTTTACATAATGCAAGTTAGCTTAGAAAACTGTAAAGAATTTCATTGAGAATTTTGTGTACTACAATATGGAGTACATCCTTTCCAGCCTACTTTCTCAATTAGAAACTCAATTTGAGAGCAGTAATCACAATATACATTTAACTCAATGTACACATTTGCTGATCATTCAGCATCATAGGTGTCAGTCATCCTTGTGGAGCTTTTCATTTATAACTACTGAGTCAGGTACACATTTAGCTATAAAACAATGCAACAATTGAAATATTTTTAAGAATATTAACTTTTACTTCTATGCATATTTGATTTCAGGTTATAATTGATATTGAATGGGGAGCATTTGGAGATAATGGTGTGCTTGATTTCATCAAAACAGACTATGATCGCAAGGTTGATGAGAACTCTCTCATTACAAACTCCTTTACGTGAGTCCTCTTGAATTACTAAACCCGTTAGTTAAAATAAATTTGAAAATATAGGTTATAACACCGTTTTTTGATAGACACGCAGACACATCATATGAACATAATGATAACATAAGTCTGTCTTTCCTATAAATATAGGCTAAAAACTACATACTCATTCTGGTCAAATGAATATCTAATATCAGTTGTTAATATAAACCAATATTCTGTTGACACTATGATAAAGGCGAACACAACTTTGACAAAGATATTTGAGGTGTAACTTCCTACTTTATATTAACTACTTAGTGAATCTTCAGATAGTTACTATAGGATTCTGACGATGGTGTATAACACACTGATATATTGGGTTTCTGGACTTTATCCATCGTCCTGGCACGCACAGTGCGTCTATAGCATTCCCTGTGAATGTGGCAGAAGCTACATTGGCGAAACAGGCAGACCTCTGGCCGTGCGGCTCCGGGAACATAGGCATAACCTAAAAGAAGGTCTTCTAGAAAAATCAAAATTAGCCCAACATGCCTATGAAAAGTGACATAGAGGAGGCTGGGATGAAGCTATGATTTTGGATATTGAAAGCCACATCAGGTATAGGAAATACAAGGAAGCAGCCCATATGGCATGCTCGGCCAACCCAATTAGCCAACCCAGTTTGGACTTTTCTCCCATTTGGATCCCCATTATCAGCAATGAAGTCACCAATTCACATAGAAGATCTGTATGACGAGATATATGCTTTTATTCATTTCTATTAAGTTCTAAATTAGATAGACGTGATTTACTCCATTGTTGACGCTAGTTAGACACTATTAGTTTTTTGTTACTAGTTCTTCTTTCTATTCCATGCCGTGGGGTCATGGACCTGGTTATAGTTTGGTTTCGTGGCATAAATTTCTACAGATCTATCTATCCTGGTTCCACGCTTGTATGTATTTGCAACAATTTGTTATGAATATTTTTCTTATTAGCTCTCATGGACTTAGCCTGGTCTCTGGTATTTATAATCTTCATGTTTTGTGACATCGGTTTACTCACTGATTGAGGCTAGTTCTTTCTATTGGACCCAACAGAATAGGTGTTTCCATTTTCCTTCAACTAAAGATGGAAAGAGATGTAATTTCCGACTGTTTTTATTTGTTATCTTACAAACCAGGACGATGGATAAAGTCCAGAAACCCAATATATCAGAATCTTCAGATGTCTAATTGTATTCAGATATAATTTGTTCCTGCTTTGGTTACTATTGTTCTAACAGAAAAGCCTTGGGATTTAAGAACTGTAAAATTATTAGTTTATCCTGTTGTGACATGTACATGAAGAAACTGTCAGTTCTACCACAGATTACATTGGTATTCTATTTACGAGGGTCGTCCTGAAAGTCATGAACAACAATTTTTTGTAAAGTAACATGCTTTATTATTGACAAACCAAATACACCACCGCAATCTACAGACCTTTCTTTATTTTTCCACATAATCGCCATTTCTTTGTACAAATTTCTCCCAGCATTCTGGGAGTTTGAAAATTCTCTTTCCGTAAAATTCTGTTCCAGCCATTTGAAGACACTGATGCACTGCTTTCTGAATTGCCTCCCTTGTCTCAAAACATTGTCCATGCAGCTGATCCTTCACAAATCCGAAAAAATGGTAGTCAGAGGGTGCCAGATCAGGGCTATAGGATGGGTGTGGAAGAACTTCCCACCCCATCATTGCAATTGCTTCCAATGTGAGGTGAGCCATGTGGGGGTGAGCGTTGTCATGCAGGATGATGATGTTTCATCCTGGATGTTTATCGCGCAATGCATGACGGAGCTTATGCAACGTTTGAACATAACAAGCAGCGTTGATGGATTGCACAGGCATCAGGAATTCGGCCAGAATAAACCTCTCTGCATCCCAGAAGACTGTGCCCATCACCTTCACAGCTGATGGCACTGTCTTTGCCTTCTTTTTTGATGGAGAATACAAATGGTGCCATTCCATAGTCTGCTGTTTCATTTCAGGCTCAAAATGGTGAAACCAGCTTTCGTCACCTGTCACAATACAGAGCAAAAAATCATCGCCTTTGTGCCGATATCTCTGCAACAGTTCTGAGGTGATGGCTTTTCGCTGACCTTTGTGGTCTTCAGTCAATAACTGCGGGACCCAATGAGCACAAACTTTCCTATAGCCCAAGCTTTTAATCATCTCCTGTACTGCACTGTATCCTATTCAAAGTTTTCGGCCTATTGTGTCCACAGTCACATGCCTGTTATCTTGAATGATCTCATCCACTCTTTCCTTGTTGCGTTCAGTTGAGGCTGTTCGAGGACGACCACTCCGAGGCTCATCTTCGATGCTGGTATTCCCATCTTTAAAATATTTCACCCATCTTCAAACACTGCTCGCACCCATGCACACACTTCCATAAGCACGCTGAAGTCTGGTGAATTTCTGCAGCAGGGATTTCCTCTTTCACAAGAAATTCGATGACAGCACGCTGGCGAAACAACATATCTTTGTCGGCCATTTTGTTAGGAGTGATACTGGTCACGTGATGCAAGCTATTGACGTCACAAAACACTCAAGGTTAACACAACAGCTGGTTCCACCTACCACCATACTCTCTTTCTTCTGCTGTTCGCAGGTTGCATGCAAAAAAAGTTGCTCATGACTTTTGGTACGACCTACATACTTCATTTTTGATAGAAGATTTTATATGATGTTCCTAATAAATGGGAAACTCAAAAGAGAGAAGGGGGTAATACTGATATTTTACAATGCTTCTGTAAGTTACACTTTCAGTTGTCATAAGCAAGATTCGTTCTCATGATTAAGAAGATACATTCTACATGGCCAGCCCATAATTTGTGGTCATGGTGAACCTTGAACTTTGTCTTGTCCCATAAGTGTAAGATGTTATTTGTAAGATATTTCAGTATCATTATGTCTGTGTATTAATATTTGTGTCACATTCTTTGCAGATTTGAAAAATATATTAGTGGCAAATATCTGGGTGAAATCGTTCGTGTGATTGTTGTGAAGCTTGTTGAAGACTGTGTTCTGTTTGGGGGGACAGTATCTGATGCACTCCTTACAACTGGAGCCTTCACCACTAGCTTTGTGTCGCTCATAGAACAGTGAGTTATGTACATATTCTGACATATGACAGTAATAATTTTTTCTGATGTAGGAGTTTGAAAATATCAGTACATCAGTTAGATATATAAATTAGCAGTAAATGACTAAAATTGTTTTCACCACAAGAATTATAAATGACAAGTGGGAAGCTGCGTTAAACTTCATCGTTACAGACTAATGTACTGTTTCATACCTCTTAAAATTTCTTTCATGAGCCAATCTTTTTATTATTTTTCTAACATTTCTTTTTGTCATGGACCACAATTCAAAACTCTCTTTGTTGTATAATCCTTCACTTTTCCTTTTTATGGATTTTTCCAAAAAGCCTTACTTACCGAATAGCATGAACTGTATTTTTATGCATCAATTCTTTCAAAAAATCCTCTTATAAGTACTTTCTTAATACTCAGCTGTTTGAAACCTAAGAGAAATTTGCAGTTTCTCAGTGTGACTTGTTTCAAGAGGGTGACTGTTACACATAGATCCATGAATTTTAAATACCTCACTCATTATGACTGTTTACTTCTGGAGAAATGTTTGTAAAGAATGTGAGTTACTGCACAATTTGTCAAGAGCTATTGTATTATGCTTATTTTCATTATTATGATATTGTGTTAACAGGGACACAGTGGGGAATAACTGTGAAAACACACCAGAAATTCTCGATAAGCTCGGACTTTCATATAATGCTGATGACATTGCTATCATGAAGTATATATGTGAAACAGTGTCAAACCGAGCTGCATTATTAGTGTCTATATGTGAGTTTTTATTATTCATTTTTCTTCTTCTTATTTTTATAGCTTTCTCGCTTCCAATTGTAATTTCAGCACAGATACTTTCATATTCCCTGGTGGTATGTTATACCTGAGTACCTTTCATGTAGTCACTGGTATTACAGTTATTATTATGATTATTGTAACTTTTGATGATATTAGTGATAAGCAAAAAACAGGGACATCAGAATTCATAGGCAGAGGGGACAGTCACCTTCCTTAATTCCCGTATGAGGAAAAAAAAGTTATCTTTTGTCTTCTCCAAAACCCTTTCAGAAAAAAAGAAAGATGCAGTGACAAGTGTAATCTATTGCAGCAATTTGGATATACACTCCAAACCCTACAAATATGAAATAGATGGATGCACCATGAACAGAAATATACCTTAATTTTTTAAGTATTTAAAGCTATAGACCCGATTTTGGCCAGTCACTTGAGATAGTGGAACATATATGTGTACGAGTATCTGACACCTGTTGTTTCATGGTATTTGCACAAATACATGGATAAAGAGGTATGTGAAAATGGACCTCTTTATAAAAGTGGCTTAAATTTATATTTTCTTGTCCTAGAATTCCAGGTTGTACAGCAACAATAGAGACGTAAAAAATTATAAACTAATGGCTGTACCCATATATGGGTTAGAGCGTTGAAGCATAATGAAACAACCAGAGAGCTGAATTGAGGCAGATCAAATGAGGTTGCTGAAAGCTGTTGCAGCTTATAGGAGAACAAACCATATAAAAATCAAACATTCAGATAAGAACTAAATATATTTAACATCCTAGAAAATAGTGAATATCAAACAAATTGATTCCATCATCTGGAAAGAATGGATAGAACCAGATCTGCTAAAAAATTTGGTAGTATACAACCAAAAGTAAGTTTAGAAGAGTGCCAGGTCATGAGGGTATTGTAGGGAATGAAACTGCAGATCAACTGGCAAGAACAGGATCTGAACAACCGTTCATAGGCCCTGAACCAGCTTGCGTCATCTCAATTGGAGTTGCCAAGAAAGTAATCAGGGACTGGACTTACAGGACTCACAAAAAACACTGGGAATCCAAAACTGGACTCAAACAGGCAAAGAGACAGGACCCTCTGCCAAAAGAACAAGTGACCTGTTAAAATTGAACAGACATAGGTGGTAGAATTACTTACTGGACACTGCCACCTGAAAGGACACCTTTTCAAACTGGGACTGACAGATGACCCAACTTGTGAGAAGTGCCTACAAGAAGATGTATCAGCCACACACATCCTGTCTGATTGTGAGGCTATAGCTTATTTAAGATATCACCACCTAGGTCAATTATTCATGGAACCAAGTGACATTTATGACACCCCTGTAAGCAAAGTCCTACATTTCATTCGAAGTGTAGGATTAATAAAGGGTTAATCCAAAGGGGAAGCACAATAGACCATTGAAGCTCACAGTGTTAGGGCCAGTTTTATGGCTCACCCCTCATACCCATACTCAAGTCTAGAAGAGTTAAACCATATGAGAGATGAAAGGACCAAACCTGATATGATCCTTGAAATTTTAAGAGTCTAACCCTTTTAGATGATGATGAAATGTATATGCTTTTATTATAATGCTCTGATTATGATATGTGTATGTCTGTTCTCTCTTGCAATATTCATATATTGTGATTTTATTATGAAGTTTTAAGATAAGTCATCATAATCAATTTATGAATGACCTAATCTTTGTGTTGGCCTGCCAGCACCAACCTTCCCTAGCTTCAGTTTTCATAAATATTATTCATTTGACCCTTAAAGAGTAATTTTTATGTTGTTTCTTTCTTACAAAAATTCTCTTTGACACATCTGCAGATCCTCTACATAATTCCAAATTCCAAAGGAATTTCTTGTATAATTTGAAGGTATGATTATGTTCTACTTCTTAGTGTCATTGGAAGCTAATAACATATTCCTTTTAGTCACCATATATATTATATATATATGTATTGTGGCATGTGCTGAAAGCCAGAATAGTTTAATCAGCAGAGATGGCCATTGCCAGTGAGCAGCTGCGTACAATGGGACACGCGATATCACGTCACCCACATCAACAGTAGAATGGTGTTTTCTTTTGGGTTCATGCAGAGACTGTGTCTTGAGAATCGAAACACAGACCATTCAGTCCCAAGCCTGTACTAACAGAGGGCTTGCATAGTGCAAAAGGAAGAATTTTCAGTAACATGGCAATATGTGCGATACATACGCTTGACGAAAGGCCAAGCATATTCATGAGAGACAGGCCCATCTTCTCATCAGAGAGGATGTTGCATAAAGACTATGACTGCAAGGGTTCAGTTGAAGAAAAAGAAATCTCTGGCCATGAGTCTCAAGGGGCTTGACACCAAGATGAACTGATTGGCCAGTCATAAATTTACTTTGACTTGACCAGCCAGTCCCCATGAAGAGGTGGGTTTGAATACCTCCACTGTATCTCTGCGAGCCATATGAAGCGACAAAAAGCAAACCCAGTGCCCGGGATATAACTGGTCCGCCACGTTGCTGTGGGATATAAATACTGGGACCTGGCCCTCCAGGTTGCAGAAGTCTCGAATCTGAGACAGTGAAATATGGTCATGGGTCCCATGGGTCTCAGACCCCGAGAATGGCTGCGCTGGTGAGGGTCAGCAGCAATTTTAAACAACAGACCTGCCCTCTTATCAGAGGGGCACCCCACATCAACACACCCACAACTGTCTGACAGTAATAAAAATGTGGTCTTGGACCTCAGATGGAGGTTTGACACCAAGACAGACTGGTCAGTTGGCAGTTGGTTGTAATGTGACTTTGGCTTTGATCTGAACAGTCAGTCTGAGCCGAGATTATAGAGATAAGTCTAGAGAGAGTCTGCAGGCAGACAGACCAGTCCGAGTCTGAGGCTATTGTAAGACATTCACCCACAGTGGATGCCTGGGAGGCGGAGGAGTCACCAATGTTGGAAGTCATTGCTTAACAATGCCAAGTTAGTTGCAAGAGAATTACCGACCAGTAAGTATGTGAACACAGAAGCTGAGGGAGCTATGGTGTGGGAAGCCGTTACCAGACACCTGGTCGAAACATAGCAGACTGAGAAGAATTAGTGCATGCTGTAGTGAATTGTAGAGTGTGTGAATTAGTGATAATGCTAAAGTGAGTTCTAGTTATAAGCAGTAAGTGTTCAATAAATCTAATTACCAATCCAAATCCCATCTGTAATCACTCATTGCATGACAATATTTTTCATTCTACAAAAATATGGATCTAACACAAGCTGGATCTTTATTGGTGCTGTATTATCACATATAATTGCAGGAAAAGTTAAAGTAAAGCTCTTTCTGTGCTTAAATCATTGAGAACCACTCCTTGAAGACGTATGGTGGAGTGAAGGTAACAACATAATATTCATACCAACCTTTATTGGTCCCTCAGCTGTCTGGGAAGACAGACCTAACACACGTAGATATAATGTATCATGAAGATTTCTGTCATCTGAAATGTGACACCACATAGTCTGGTAGATATTTACTGCTTGTTTTGAGGAGCATGCTACCTCCATCCTCAGGGTAGAAGAGTGAGCCAAGCATTGAAAAAGTGGTACAGTTGTGTACAGTTATAGGGCGAGGAATGGTTGTGGTAGGATCACTGAGCTACCAATCAAAGGGAGAAGATGGTGATTGAATCTTAGGCCCATGAAAGGACCGTTTTGCTACAATAGGGACAGAAGTCATAATGGTGAACTGATGTATGGGTGGTACAGGAAGGTCAGGAGAGTTGAGGTTATAAAACCGTTGACCTGAAGGGATTGTTCAATGGCATGGTGAATGGGAGGAAAGACGAAAGAATAACGGGCTGCAGGTAAAGTAAAATGAACAAGGAAGTGAGGAAGGAAGGAGGCAAGAGTGAATAAATGCAAGATCCCTGTAATGGTCATTACAATGGAGCTGAGAGATTTGATTCTCTGCTCTAAAAATACTCCTTTCATGAGCCTCATATTCTTTTATCCTTCTTGCTTCATTAGATTTTCCTTGGGGCTCCTCTCCTGAGGTTACCTCTCCTTATATCCATAGTAATTTCTTCCACACTCAGCATATTCTTCTATCCTGAAAATAGAGGCAATACTTTATTCCAGAATGCTGGTACTAAAATACTGCATGGTGTCACAACTCAGAAGACACTAGTCTTCCTAATCACTGCTCTGAGAGCCTCATAGCTCACAACATACCTCATATGGAAACAGAGGCGTTGAATGAGAGGCTATGTTTTAATGAACCAGACAATTGTAGTGACAGCTATGATTAATATGTTTGCATAAGGTACAGCAACATTGCTGGAGAGGTTGGATCGTCCAGACACCACAATTGCAGTAGATGGCTCACTGTACAAATATCATCCTCGCCTCAAAAGTTGGATGAACAAGTACATTCATCTGCTAGCTCCAGAGAAGAAGGTATTTCTGTATTAGAGAATAAATCTAAATCTTTCCTATGATCAGTTTTTCCACTTGAATGTTGTTTCATTCAAATTTCTGGGAAGAATTAATCACCTACATTCTATTGATATGACATGAGCTGCACATAAAATGATAGTCCAACAATTTTTCTATTATTGCGTGTGTATTCATTACCATGGTAACGTTTTTTACTCAGCTGTAGCCTAGCAATGACAAGGGGATATACATATAGATGCACATATTGATGGGAGGGATTTATGAAGTACACCACTGAGATGGGCTCGGGTGCCATGGTACACATATCAAGTTTCATAAAGATTGATTGAACCATCCCAAAGTTCATAGGGAGACATAGACACACATAGACAGCATGGTGACTGCATAAGCCTACTTTTTCTAGGTAAGGAAGGTAGGCTGAAAAGTAAGATAAAATATTTGTGATCATTTATTAGTGATAATATTCCATGCCAAGTGTATTCTCCATATAAAATATAATATCCCAAAATAAATTATGTTTGTTTGCCTAAAGTATGCATAGTAACATAAAATCACTGTGATTTTCTTATCATCCATAATACTCCCAAGCTCTTCTCCTCGTAGCCCTACGTGCAGCCGGCACATAGGACTAACAACCTTACTGCTATCATTGAGCCGATTGTCTAGAAAATGTGGGACTCTCAACGTCTCTCGACCCTATGGGCCTTCACGGCCTCTTACAGGGATAGCTTTATTTTTTTTTACAATCTTATGTTACTTATGCTTTTTAGGTATCAACTTCACTGAAAAAGAAAATAAGTTGCCATAGTTCATTTATACACAGTATTCTACACCACATAAATATACATTAAAATTTTAAATGTATCATTTTACTAATTTTACATTTAATACATTATATTTAATAATACATTTTAACTATGATATAGTCAGTTTTAAAATTTCTGAGGTGTTGTATGTTAATATTTTTAGATTTGTTTCGATAGCTGCACTGTATTCTTATAATCTTATATAGCATTCTGTAATGTGTAAGCATTTTTGGCACAACCAATGTAGTGATAAGTCATGTGAGTAGAAAGAGACTATTTTACTTTTGGGTTATGACACCAAGTAGTCTTGGAGAATAAAAATATTTCAGAGAGACATGCTGTATCCATCATTAGTGATGTGAGTAAACTGGTGTATCTCTACAAGAATCAGTTTGACAATTTAGAAAGTGTGGCAGTATTAATAAAGTAATTAAATTGAGAGGACTAAAAATGTAAACAATCCATCCCCCCTTACAATTACAGTGAAACTCAAATATAAGGTTTTATTTGGTACCAGTGGGTTTGAACCCTGAACTGAGGAAAATCTTACATGGACGAAATTAAGTATCAAGTTTATTGAACTTAGATTATTGTAATTGCATAAAATGTTAAAGAAAACCTTAATTCACAGAAAATTAAATTAGGATTTCACTGTATGAAGATATATGATGTAAGATCTCTCTTATAACAATAGTATTTATTGTAATGCCATATAATTTCCCATACCTTGAATGACAAAATATATGATAAAATTGTAATTACTATTTTGCAGTAAATTTTTAAGACTTTTGTCTTAACTGTAATGAGCCTTCGTTGTGCATGGCCATCAGCATATTCATAAGTACATTTATGTGCAGCAACAAGAAGCAATCAGCCGCATGTTGCCACAGCACTGTTGCTTCATAATCACTTCCCATTCTGTTTGACACTTTATAAAATACACAATTAAAGAAAGTACCATTACTCACTTAGTTACTTACTTATGGAGCTGAGCCCTTCTTGAGGAGCCGCCAAATCTGCAGTGACTCAAGAATTTCCCAGCATTTCATGGAACCCTAAAGTTCATTACCACTTTCACAAGAGCCCTCCACAGGTCCCTATCCTGAGCCAGATCAATCCAATCCATACCATCCCATCCCAGCCTATCTCTCTAAAATCCACTGTCTTATTGTCCACCCACCTATGCTTTGGTCTTCCCAGTTGTCTCTTTCCTTTTGGCTCTCCCACCAATATCCTATATGCATCCCTCTTCCCCCATTCATGCTACATGCCCTGCGCACCTCATCCTCCTTGACTTGATCATTCAAATTATACTTTGTATACTTTGTATAAGTTGTCTTTAACTTTCAACCCTTGGCAGTTACTAAGATAAACCACAGATTGTGTTCTGCTCTGCCCATGTATGAGTGACACTCACATAAGGAATCTTTTTCAGTTCAAGCTCTTATTAGCGGAGGATGGCAGCGGCAAGGGAGCAGGACTTGTGGCAGCTATAGCTCTCAGATTAAAGCAGCGTTTTTCACAGACATGACCTTCCATGCATCATATAGCCCTGCAAGTGACACAACTTTTGCTCTACTCAGTAACAATATGCGGTTCACAGGAAGCCAGTAAGAATTATAAATGGCAAATGACTTAGGAGATGACTGTACATCTGGGAAGATGTTATTTCTACCTCTATGAAGTTGGAGACAATTTGAGAACAGATAAAGAGGAATTCAAATGTAACTGATCCTAGTGTTGACTGGTCCTCAGACAAAGCTCTAGCCATATCTTTCTTTCAGAAATATTTTTGAAACATATTCATTCTATAAGTGGATGAGGCTGGGTATTTTTTCTTTCCTGTCATACAAATGCAGGTTTCTCTTCTTTTAAACAAGTTTTGTAGAAGAAATTTTACTGATGTGGGCTGACCCTATTTGTATAAAAGGTTCATCAAACTCAGCACTCCTGCTTCATATTCAGAAGATCCCACATTTGAAACTAAACTTTTGAGGCACACTGTGTTTTTTTTAATCTTAAGTCTGTCCAGCCAAAGGCTGGTTTATTACCTTAAAGTAGGCCGTGACCATTTCATCCCAAATTATGATCGATTCTTTGTTCATGGTCACCACTCAATTTTCTACTGTTTCACTAATATAATGTTACTTAACATGAATTGTTTTCATGACTAAAGAAACAAATCTGAATTAATCAGATATAAGGAGTTGTCCTTTTGTATTAGAATCCTTAGTTTTCTTCTTTCTGAAAGAAATCAGTATGTAAATATGATCTTTAAATATTTTGTTACTTCCACATCAAAAAGTTATTCACAGTTGAATGCAGCCATGGCAATCTCTGCTTGGGAAGCACTGTCACATTCACTCTAATATAAATGCTGGAACAAGAATTTATACCGCCAATAGGCCCAATTGCTTTCTGACATCCAGCCAACATTGCAAGGTACTTTGACAGTGAAGAGATGATGATTTATATTTTGTGTGTTTGCTTCTTATGGTGTTCCCTGAAAACAGTCAGTTATGTACAAATGTTTTATTGTTTAAATAAAAATTCTATTTTCATGTTTGATTTAGTTGTAAGAAAATTTATTTCTGTATTGTAAATAAGCAGTTTTATGTTTTAATTATAGTTATAACCAAAGTTTATTTTCTGAAAACCTGTTTTCTACTACTTCCATGCTCAGTTTCAGTCTCAAAGTCAAAGAATGCAATGCTTTCAAAGAATTCAGATGATTGACTTTGAACAAATTTACCCATCATATCTAAAATCATATGTGTAGAGCAGAAACACACCTGAGCCTACATGTTTTACAGTCAAGTGGATAGTGCTCCCACTCCAAATTTGGGAGTTCTAGGTTCAAATGTTGACCCAGAGACCAGCTGTCTTCATTGCAGTGTTTCATGATTTTATGTGTTTTTTTTTTTTTTTTTACATCAGAGTCAAAAATAGTGTATTAAATCAGGGCTCAGCCAGATCATTTTACATTTCTTTAAATTATATTCATTGACTAGCTTATTATTCAACACTACATTATTTGTGCTATTGAAATATCGTTAATCCATGAATGAATAAATAAATACATCTACCTGAGGGGGATTGCTGAAGATCTGTTTAAACAAATCACATTAAATCAAGTAAGCATTTGAAAGATTTAATAATATATCTAATTAACAGAAAACTGTCCAATGCATTCCACTGGTGGGCCACCAAGTTCTCTGCATGCCTTTCTTGGAAAATTCCATGATCTGCTTGTAAAATCAAACATGTACCATCTTTTGTGCTGCATCATCCAACCAGAATCAGCTCTTTCAGATGCTCAAATAAGAAAGGTGCTGTGAGAGATATCCAAATTGCATACAAGAAGCAAGTTTCTATTGAAACTTAATATGCAGTTATCGCCATCGGTTGTGTTTCTGTTAGTGTTTGCTTACACATTCAAATTTTAAGCTACATGAATATGCTTCACTTAGCAGCAGATTTTAATTTATCCTCATTTAATTCTGATTGTAAATGATATTCTACTCCAAGTCCCTGGCACAGGGTCTTTCTTACACACTCAATAGTTCTTCAGTTGTTCAAGAATTTCCTGCTGTGGAATATGAAGATTTGATGGCTACAGCAAAAGAGGGTATGTAGAGAAATTACACCAGAATTCTTAACTTCGCTGTAAATAAATGCTCCCTGTTGTCCTTCCATACAATATGTATACTTTCCTGACCCAAGTAACTGGGAATATTTACACGTATGTACATATTAGGAAGAAATTATTTCTGTAACAGTCAGTATAAAGGGATATAATTTGCCCACTTTCCATATTTATAAACTTGTGGCAGAATTGAATACTAAAATATTTCTAACTTGGACTAAGATTTACATGATTTGACTGCATCATAGCTCAAGCGGTTAGTTGCTGGCTTCCCACCACGGCGGCCCAGGTTCGATCCTGGGTCTGGAATTATGACCTGAAAAAGGTTTCTTCATACACAAAGTTAAGAAGAGTGGTGAGATGAAATCTTTGCCAACATTATGAGACGCCATTATATAAAGTTTAATGCATTGTGAAGTCAATAACCATGACCAAGTGAAGCTAACTGCTTTACCGAATCATATTTACTTCTGAAATATTTAATTTTGTAAACATAGCAAACCCAAAAAGTGTGTGGGTACATTAAGAATAGTTTGTTAGGCGTAGTAGCTGTAAATCAAATCACTTTGAGTGCAGATATATGTGGCTCATTTATGAGTTCACAATGACTAAGTACAGAATAGAAACTTCTTGTTCTTACGTCAAAAGCTTAGAAAATATCCCTATATATAATAATTTCTACATTATTTCTTTTTCATTTGGAACAAAGCAAGTGTCTAACATTCCAGTACGAAAATTTGTTTTGAATCCTGCGGGCGTATTAGAAATTACATTAGATCTCCAGTTAGTCCCCTTGAACCTAGTACTACGGTTCGAGCGCTGATGTCGCGCTGTTCACGAATTTGCCACTAGGTAGCGTAGAAATTACACACCTGTCAAATGATTTAGAGCACACTAAAGACGTGTGGTTTGAAAAACCCATTAATTTGTATAATATTGGAAGTGTACAGTGCAATGCGTGAGTGAAACGAGTATTATTACATTCAGTAACACTCTTTTTGAATGAGTGGATGTTTAGTTTAGTGTATTTTCAAGAGTAAAGTGGCGGAACAAAAATCTATAGGGGAAGGGAACGCTCGATAAGGGGCCACTAGCAACAGAACGCACCTACCGGTCCGAGAAACCAGCTGACAGGACGGCAGCTGGAAGTTTCCACGGACGGACTCTGGGAGGAAGCCGGTAAATAGCTGTCAAATTTTAGTACTAAAACTGCAACTAAGGAAGTTCATGTTTGTGACAGTTATGTAATTCGATTTCAGAAGTTAGGGCTAGTGCCACATTTGAATTGTTATTTATTAATTCACGAGAATGGGATATGCACCTTTTTTTTTGTGGATTATATCTCTGTTTGAAAGTCATGTATATGATATTAAGTTTTTTTTCTTGTATGCCAGATTTGAGGTTTTTCCAGCGTTTACTATGGAAATTACTTTCTTCTGAAAGTGCTGTTCTGTAGTTTGGTAGGAAAGAGTGTTCAGTGTTCTTTTAGGTATTTTTTATTACGAACTGTAGCATCTCTGTTAATAATTTTTTTTTTCATTTCAGGTTCAGCTTGCTGCAAACAGGATGGAAAATTAATAATTAATAATCTACATTATTTCGCTATAGTATTTATGCAGTATTAACAGTGAAATTTTCGTAAAATTGTATCTTCTAGATCGGAGAAAGTATTACAAATTTCAGTGCGAAATTAGATTTTTTTTTAAATTGGGAGTGAAATCTTTATTTCCTATTTTCTCTTTGGCATATCATGTTTCTGCAAACTCCAGAACTGAAGAAGGCAACAAATAACAGTGTTACTAATAACAATGCAACCCCAACCATTGCAATTGACATTGAAAGTCGCTGCCATGGCGAAAGTTATGAGGTCTGTGGAAATGACAGTGCTGAAGAAGTGGACCTCATTACCCGATTCTGTATGCCGGTGTGTACCAGAGACCATGCTGCTCGAACAATGGGACTTCAGGTCATTGAGAAAACAGTCATGGGTTGGTTGGATGGTTATGGCAGTCCTAAGCGTTCTAGACTGCCCTCTAATGCCACTGCAGTTGGTAACAATTTTGATGTTAATAATGCTGCTACCAATGGTCATTACTGCCCAGACAAGAACAATGCGGAATACGTGTCTCTCGTGACGCTGCATATGCCGACCATCCTGAGGCTTTCAGTCAACTGTCCGTTCATGGATGTCCGTCAAAGTTTCGCTAGCATCCTCCAGCTTGTGCAGGTAAGATGATAAGTTACCCATGGAAGCACAATAGACCACTGTAGGTCGCAGTGCAAGGGCCGAGAAGGCCTACCCCTCATACATTCATTCATTCATAAGGTACCCATGGCAGTGAAGTTAAGATTATGGTCATTTAGGATGTGCTATTATATACCAGTGTTTCATAGGAACCTTCTGCCATGAAGTACCCTCTAAAACGTTAATATCTTTCTGCATATTACATTGCCTGCCATCCTAGGAGATCATAATATTAATTTCTGCTGTTTTAGTTTTAAGTTCCTGAACAAGATCAGATGTTGAAGACATTTGTTTTTCATGTAATAGTTCAGTGCTTCTGTTTTGCAGATGAAATCTTGCAAGCAGTTGTGATGTTGATATTAGTAACTGTGAATTGGTGAAGTTAAGTGGTAATCATTTATGGTGATATTTCAGCCTTCATCACTAGAATTAGGGAGTCTATAAAACATTAACTTTAGACTGCATTGGGTATCCGTATTCCAAGTACAGAAGCTGTAATATGTGATTAGGTGTAAAGGCTGTAGAGATTATACAGTCCTTAGGTTTCCTATTAATACGATTCAGTTAGGGGTGGAGGTTTAAAGCAGTCATGGACTGTTTCAATGCATCTGACATTTAGTTTGAGATTTTGGTAAAAACTTGAAAAATAGTCTAGGTAGATATCTAAGAGCCACTCAGCTACTCGAGAAATTCACTCGTTACAGAACTTGAAGTTTCAGTATCATGTTAATTAGAGCCCCCCCTCTCTGGACCACATCCTGAACCAGATGAATCCAGCCCACGTCCTCACAATTTGTTTTGTTTCGATCCATTTTCAGACTACCCTTCAACTTACTTATAGATTTCCAGAGTGTTCTCTTCCTTTCATTTTTTTCAACCAACATGTATGCATTTGTCATGGATGCTACATACCTATCCCATGATCATCTAAAGGTCTGTGACAGTGATGTATTCATTATACATATAAACAAGAAATTCTGGGAAGAACTAATTTCGTACTTTCGTTTCAGTACATGTTGAGTATTTGTTATGACATGGACCATATAGGAAACACTGCATCCAGCAGTTCTGCTGCCTAGCAATGGCCGTCTGTTATGGCACTACCATTCTTGCTTGTTAAGGGGGGACACACAGACACACAGATGGCAAGGTGATCTCATAAGACTACTTCCCCCCCCCAAATGAGGAGGTAGGCTAAAGATATTATAAATCTGGTGTTGGATACTGCCCGTTATCGTAGGTATGTATACACATGTTACAGTGTTACAGATACTGGTTGAGTGGTTGAGCTGGCTCTTTCAAATAGGCCCAGCTGAATAGGATTCTTTCCTGCCACTTATGCATGATGCTGGAAGCCAGTCTAGCTTCCGAAACATTGTGCAGTTTGTGTAGATGTAAACGTTATGAAGTTCTTTACAGTGCTGTTGTCTCCAGCCTCCTGTTACTGCCTCTCTCCTATTTTGGGGCCCTATATGGTGTAGCTGAAATAATTTTTACAATTGTGATAATATTTTTTTCAAACTTTTACTGAAAATATAACAATACATGTATAGAAAAATATTAAAAACCTAAAAGACTAGCCCCAACTCAAATGGAATATTAAGTACATAAATTAATAATAAATTAGACATTGATGCAGTTATAATTTCATCTCATTGTTTAAGCTGAAATCATGTT